CGCATTCTTTGGAAATTGGTTTGGTAACACTCTTGTACGTGCATGCCCTCAAATATGGAGTATTAAGTTCACAATATTACACAAAATTTCGAAAATTAAAAAGTAAAATTCAAAAGGAACTCCTAAAATATATATCCAAATCTAGTTCACAATTAATAATTCTTATGTTCCCTAGACAGATGACGTGTCATATTAAAGCAACATAATAGCCTATACTATGCTAGAACATCCCCACCCCCCCCCCTCACCCCCACATCACGAAAGTCTGTGCGATATTTCTTCTTTTTCTTTTTATTCTTTACTAATAGGATTCTCAAGATGAAAAGTAAAATTTGTGAGTCTCATCTCCAACCTGTCATGGCGCCCTCTTCCTCCTCCTCTTGCTTGTTATACCCGGAAATGGCACCACACACAGCCACTCTCCCGCCGAAGGCCATGTGGGGCATAACAGACGCAGTGAAGCTTCCTCCGACCTTAGGAGAAGAAAAGAACAGCCTATGTAAGAATAGAAAAGGAGTAATAAGACTTTGAGATTTATTGTTGTGTTTAGACCAGGGGTCCCTAAACTTTTTAGACTATCGATCCCTTTATTTAATTCCTTGATTTTTATCGACGACTGGGCAAGTACCAAAAATAATTATCAGTAACAATGAAGTAGATGTGTAGTTTCCATATATATGAATGAAGGGAACTGCATACCAAAAAGTTACGTTAGAATATTTTAAAATCCTACAAGATTACAATGCTAATGATGAAAAGTATTGTAACGTTTACCATGTAATAAAAAAAAAAGTTGATCCATCCAGAACGTGCAAACCCCCAAAATAAAATAAATCATCAAAGTAACCCTAAAAAAAAAAGATAATAAAAATACATAATAAAAATAACTGATAAATTATTAAAATTATCAAGACAAACGAGACCTACATTGTCGAATTACATACATAAAAGATATCCCGAAAAAATAATAACAAGAATGTAAACTCGTAAACTTCTGATATCCGACAGACCTACTCAAAATAACTTACATTGTCGAAATAACAATTAATCTTCTCCGGAGCAGCCTGACGGAGCGCCTCACCTACTTTGACCTTCTTGTAGTTAAAGGCGTGATCGGCCCCGATTTCCCTGAGCCAGTCGACCTTATCGTCTGCCCCTGCAAAGCCGATGACTTTGCAACCTGTAATGGGTATTTCAACTTTTCAACGCAATGGGTATTTCAACGGGTAATTGCAATGGGTATTTCAACTTTTCAACGGGTAATTGCAATGGGTATTTTCAACTTTTCAAGGTACGTGCATGAAAAATGATAAAGTATTTAATGAATTTACCAATGTAAAGAACAGTAGTGTAATGATAGTGGCTTGTGATGATGGTTTGGATTCTTAATGTTAATAACAATGCAATTACGACAACCTTAACTACATTAGAAGCTAAATATAAAAACGGCAGTGATGATATTAGTAAAGTAGTAATGATAATGATAGCAATGATAGGTTACTAATGATAATGATGATAGTGATTACAACAGTAATATCAATAATAATAGTAAAAACAATTTTAATGTTAACCGTAAATAACAACTGACAACAACAGCAACAACTTATCTATCAGGAACAAGAAAGGGAGAAAAAAAATCCATTCCTGTTCTTGACTTTGTTACAAAAAGTGTTTGTATTTAGCTGTTGCCAATATCAATGGCTAGTAGCTGCTATTATAGCTGTTGTCATCTGTTGTCAATAGCTGCTATAATCAATGATTGTCGGCAGAATCTGCTGTCAAGAGCTGCCATAAATGTCTGTTGTCAGAAGCTGTTGTCAAAAGTTCCTGCTAGAGCTGCTGATAGTTACTGCCACCGCCTGCGAGCGCACCTTTGATCTTGGCGATCTGCACCACGACGCTGCCCACGGCGCCCGCCGCCCCGCTCACCAGCACCGTCTCGCCGGCCACCGGGCGCAAGATCTCCGTCAGCCCGAACAAGGCCGAATTCCTGAAAATTGGCAACTTAAAGAAGTGAATTGTAAGGCAAGTGTGTATGTCTATTATAAGATCTACCTTATACATGACATGTAAACATAAATGCATGCATGAATGAACGCTCGCATTAAAAACAAACATACTATGTAAAAAATAATAATAATAAAAAAATATAAAAAATACTGTTGACCACATTAACCCACCCGGGCATCCCAAGCGTTCCGAGGCCGAGACTCATGGGCAAGCCTCTCATGTCAGGCAGCTGGAGGGACTTCTGCCAAAAGTCCGTCGTCTGCAGCTTCTCCAGCGATAAATGGGTTGTGCAGCGCCACCCGGCTTGCGTGACCATGAAGGAACCGACGGGCCACTCTGCGTTCTTGCTCTCGATGACGCTGTTTTAAGGGTAAATGTGGTTTGGTTAACGGAGTGGTGGGAATTTGTTTATTTGGTATTGTTTGTCTGTCTTTGTCTTTTTCTTTCACTGTCTCAATGCATTTCTTTGCCTTTGTCTGTTTTTGTCCTC